TATTTTACTCTTAAAATTAATTTTGACAATGCTCAGAGCGTCCAGGATATTGAAATGTTAGGAATTTCAACTTTTATCTATAGATTGTGTACATTCAACAATTTAACGTTTTAAATTCATATAAATTTCACAATTTCCACAATAAACTAAAAGAATGCTCAATTAAGAAAACATACATTGGTTCATTATGACTTTGAGTTGGTGTATCTTTGCATACCTTCATTCTATATATTGAGTTGATGGTCTATTAAAAATAATTTCTGTATTTTAATAAAATAAAAATAAAATCTGCGTATATTTTTTCTTTCTTCAAATCTCACTTGTAAACCTATATTGAGTTATTATTGGTCAATCATGCTTTTCCTTATTGAAAAATTACAAACATTACGTACCTTTGGGTTGAGCTCGTCGCATCGGACTATAAATACAAAGAAGTAAACAACTATAAATAGAATAAATATAGTCATTTAATATTTATATCACATGTACAATTACTCGTAGAAGATAATTAAATCCAAAGGTCATATTCTATAAATATTCACCTTTTTAGGAGACCAGTACTAAATGAATAACATTTGGCTAATTTTTTTGGAGTAAAATTTCCAAGAATTCTGTTTTGAATTAAATATCAAACCAAAATATAATTTGTTTTTAATGATTAACCAGCATTATTGTTGCCATTCACGTTGGGAGATTTTTTTTATTTTTTTTTTATTTTTAGAGATTTTGAATTATTCTTTGTCCATTTGTTGATTCTTGAAAATAAGTGTACACAAAGAATCTATATGTGGATTTTCCTTTCTCCAAAGTCTATTCTTTTGGATTCACGTTTCAGGAAGATATAATATATAAACGTGCCTTTTAACTTGATCTCAACTGATATTTATATCCTTTAATTTTAGGTGTGCACAAATAGACACTTAAACTTGAGTAAAATAGACGTAAACATCCTACCTAGTATAATGTGTTCTATATATCATATATTATTATAAGTGGGAAGAATCTAAGTAAAAAGTTGAATTACAATTTTATCCCTACATTAAATTAAAATTTTAAAAAATATTTAATGAATTAAATAAATTTGACATGATAGTTAATGCATACAATATTTTTTTCATCTTCCTCTCTAATGAATGTTTGACAATTTATTCTTTTAAGAAAACTTCTATTAAATGATAATTTAGCTGCAATAACTTATCCAACTCCCATTTAATTTTAATTTAAGCAGAGCATAATACAGGGTAAGTGTGGGGGATTATTCATCTTCTAATAGTCAGTTTACTTTTCAGTTTAAATGGTTTTTGGCTTTTGATCTTCCTCTGGTAATACTAATAATTATGTATAATTTCTTATATCTTTTATTGCGGTACATAAATGAATAATTTATACTTTACCTCTTCTTTATGTTAGAGTTTTTCCTCTATAAATACTATTGACCCTTCTCATTTGAACTTGCTATAATCCATACCTAAATTTGCATTGCATAGCACCATTTGGACGGGTACGTAATCTATTTTTTTTTTCATGTTAAATCAGTTTTGCGTTCAATTTATGTTTAACATTTACTATTTAGGTTGTGTATTTATGTGTATATTATTTCTATGAAAAAAATATATTGTACTTAATTAGTTTCTTATGAAGTCTTTACCAACAGGAAATGTTATTGTTTTTCAATTGTTTCTTGGCATCCATATGATAAGATGATGTAGTGATATAACCCATGTTAAATAGGTGTAGTAAGATTTATTTATTTTCCCCCTTCATCACTTTTGATGACCAATCTCTCAAAATTATATGATTTTGGTTGGTTAACGATCATACTATTTTTTTCTCGGTTGGAAAAAAGTATGTGCTCTAGACAATTATCAAGACATGTGAGTGTGACTATAAACTAAGAAATCTATTTGACAGGTACGAAAGTATGATAGCCTTGTGCTTAGCACCAAACTGTTGTTTGATATATCCCTGTATTCTCCAATTTAAACTTTCAATTTGATCTCATTGTCTCTCCTAGAAAAATTATCAATCGAACCAAATGGAAGGCTATAATTATTGTTTTGAGATATAGAAGTACATTATATATCGTAATAAGTAAGAGCATAACATAATATGGATTCTGACTTTATTCCTAAGGGTTTAAGGATATGTAATTATGCTAATCTTTTTTATATCTTTAACGTTTAATATATATAGCTCAATTAAATAATTTTAATGTATGACATTATAGCTATAAATATACAGTTGAATAATAATAATAATAATAATAATAATAATAATACTAATAATATGGGATACACGTGCAAAGCACGTGTCCAGATACTAGTAGTATAATACAAATCAGTTTGAGTGCCTACCATCTTATAAATATATAGTATAATACAAATCAATTCGTTTATGTATTGTGCCTTATCGATAGAATCCATTCTTGTTTGTTAATGTTAAAGTTTAGTACTATAGTAATATAATATACACATTATAATAGAGATTCGTGCAAAACTGTGTGGGTTGATTCCAAAATTAGACAAAAAAAATCATATATTAATTGAGACTTTAATTTTATATAAGATTCTAAAGGACTTCGTTAATGGATGCAAATTATTTTTTTATAATTAAAGTAGGAAGTGTATGCATGTGTAGATTGAGTTATTATTTTAATAAAAAAGTTCAACTTATTACTTTATAAGCACTTGTAGTATATATTTTTTAGACTAGGTAACATTGATAGAAAAGATATTTTATTCGATGGATATACATAGATAACTATTATTTACATATTAATTTTCGGATCCTTAATATTCAATATTTCACTACAAAAGTCGAATAGTTAAAACAGTTGATCAACTATATATTACTGCATTAAAACATCTAATTTTATAAGCAATAAATATACACATTAATAAAGAATGATAAGTTTTATCGGTATTAGTTAATTGTCATTAGAGACCTAATATCGCTATAGGTTTTAGAAATATTTTTTAAAAAAACTAATTACCTTTAACTAAAATGCATATTTAGCGTCAACTAAGCTATTGCCGTTAATTAATTACCGCTAAAAAATATTTTTTTCCACCCCTTCTCCTTGGAGTCAAGTGGCTAAACGCCCCTCCCTAGATAAGAGCAGAACCCACCATCACCTATGAATGTATGAATTTGAGATCGAATCTAGCTTTTTATTTATTGAGTTTTGAATTAATAACTAAAAACATATAGATATATAGAATAATTTTATTCTAGACAAATCTGCCAAAACCCAATATATAAACTAGCATTTTGATGTTAATTGTGACACTCAAAAAATATGGAATCCCATAGTATGGAGAGTATTGAAACACAAAATCAGATTCCACAAATTTTGGAGCCTAGTAAGGAACCTCTTTCTTTAGAACATGCTTCAATTGTATTAATTTATTATCAGGTAAACATCTCATTATTTGTTGTTGTTGTT